ATAGATAAGTACTCCTTCATCATCATCCTCCCATATTGTTTTCAATTTGAGAGCCACCGGTATACAACTGTTCTTTGCTTTGCTCTTCTTTGCTTCTTCTTCCTTTTTTCCTTTTCATTATAACTCTTGTCGCTCGCTATCATATACTGTTATTCTTTCCGAGTCTAAATAAGATATTGGTGAATGTTTCGATAGATAATCTTGAAAAACTTCCATATCCAGAGGTCCAGTCTTCGTGGCAATCAACACATCTTCAAGAAAATTGAATCCGGTTCCCCCTTTTGTTAGGAACGATGGTAATGCTATCGTATAGTAATGACCTAACTGAAGATCTTCATATATTTGATGAGTACAATTCCGACATCTGATTTTCAAAGATACCACTCTATTTCCTTGAGGCTGTGACAGATTATAAGACATTTTGATCCCTGAAAATGAAAACAAAATTATTCATTCATTGCTCGGCGTCGGTTACGAAATATTACTATTTTTCAAATTGAAATTTTGCTGTATGCATCCTAATACATCTACTTAGGTGGATATGATATCTAAATACATAAATTCTATACAAATAATATCAAGAATCGATTTTGAATTAAAAACTGAATTTTTGGAAATGAGAGAAAACCAAAAAGTGAATCTATTCATGATAATAATCGAACAGTTTCCAAACTATGAACTTCACTCAAGAGGCATTTCACTACACAGTAGTTTTTTCAGATGAACTGATTTCAATTGAACGATAAACACAGTATTTCGTTACTGAATCAAATAATATACATATACTCAGCAATAATCAACCAAAACTTGCAATACAGCTATACCGTTAAACATATATTGAATGTTTCATAAACTACACCTCACGATTTGATCTCCACAAACTTTATTTGAAAAATATATATCACAATATGTTTCGCTAACACAATAGATTTATCAAGTGATTTGGTAAATTGAATGTTTGTTTGAAGGTAGTTGACAATGTTTCATGGTGAATTTCATTAGTTCGGATTTTGGACAATCATATTAGGCAACAGAAAAAAACATAGATGAAGTTACAATGAGATAAAAATCAAGCTAATATTGGAAATTGAACAATGAAATGGAAATCAAAAGAATTCATGTCAAGTTACTTCACGACATTATGATTCATAATATCCACAATCGTCATCACCCGAAGACGATTGTAAATACTAATAATTGAAACGATTTGAAGATACTTGAAATCTTCTGATTTTTATTACATTTTGATTGTTCAATATTTAATTTTGGCTTGATTTTGATTTTATCGTAATTGAATTTTTGGGTTTTTTGTTTGATATAATTATTATTTTCAGCTATTCGTTTCAAATTTCGATTTTCAAAGGATTTCAAATCATATCATATTTTATGTGATTGATTCGGCCATTACTTGATGAAAATCTATTACATACTAGTATGTAGTCTACGATGAAGCTACTGTGTTAGCGAAACATGTGATATATTCTTTACTGAAGTTTGTAGAGATTAAATAGTAAGGTGTAGTTTATGAAATTCATATTATATCATATTGGACAATGTCCGAACTAATGAAATTCAAAATACCTACTGAGTGACTACCTGAAATATTCATATCCAAGAGCTCTGTGAGGTTTAAGATTAATCGAAAGTATATATGATCTACCTGATCACAGAAAATTTTGAACCACCTGAAAGCAAACAACTTATCATGAAAGATAGAACTGAAACAAAAATATCCTGCTTCACTGGCAGGACCAGAACAATGACCTTGGTAGTTGACGTCCGGGTAATGATTAAAAAAATACTGCTTTGGTGAAAACCAATGATCATAGCATTTTTTTTCGGAAATTCGTCATGTGGCTCTCATTGACGAATCTCATGATGGGCGACAGAAGTCTGTTGTAAATAACGAAAAAATACTTCGAAAACTGGCAATCTCAACAGCCACTGGACTTTCTCGCTTTATCAGGATTGGAAATGATTTCAAACTTCTGTTGTCTTTCCATGTAACATGGGGGTGTGGCACTGTACTGTGATGATGAATCGGTTGCAAGCCTATGGTTATAAACCTCAATGAATTCTTAGTTGTTCGTATTTATCGCCCACTATAATTTTTTTTCTGAACCTATTATCATTTTGGATATTTTTTTAGAAGATACCATGATGAACTATGCTGGCTGATCCATAAAAGTTGCATGAAATGAGTTCGTCAACTCCAGACATATTTTGAATCCTCAGAAAACCAAAGCTGTTTTTGAAAAGAAACAATTATATTGAAACACCCCAGTATATTATCCTCTATCCCCTGTTTACTGAACTTGGAAGAATATTGGCCCAATTATTCTGTTTTCAACAATATCAGCCCAGACACTGACGCCAAACCATTCTGGGCCCAGTACTGAGTATTTATCTTTTATTTGTAAACCATGATTTGTCAAAAATGAGAATGAAATTGATAGAATTTGGGTCAACTCTATGATTTTGAAACAGCCAATCACAAAATACTACTCGCCTATCGCCATCGTCAGCATGTTGATGTAACCGATATTCAAGTGCTCGATATCCGTGGTTTTTCAATATTTTTTTTGCTGATCCGTGACTTATCTGCATTTCTCAACTAATTTCTCTAAAAGAAACTGTTTTGTAACCTCAACCATAGCAAAAACGTCAATCGTAGTTGCCTCATTCATGATAAAAATCTGTTCTTTCTCTCGATTTCTTTCTCGTCTAAAACGATTATCAAAATACGGAAAATACTGATGGGATGGATGTTGCCGATTGGGATACCTTTGAGCATACAACTCAGCAGCATTCCCTGAATTTCTATGGCATTCTCCAAACAATAACGGCATATATACTTTTTCACTTTGAGTACCTATACATTATTTTGACGAAAAATTCCACTAAAATTCAACAAAAATTAAGAAACTTCAACCTTCTGCTCATAAAACTTATGTCACTGTCATAACGTGAGAGTGTTTTGTTCTCCAAAGAAGACTTGATGGAAATAATTTCTGCATCAAGCCTATCCATGGCACACTTGACAATAGTAAATAAATTATTATCAAGTATCTTCCTCAGTAATATTTAATTTATGTTCTTATTTGTAATCCAATCGCAAATAAACTAGTATCGTTAGATTCATCAAAAAATTCCTTTTTCGGAAAGTGCTTGTTAAAAAATGATCGCCATTTTAAAAATAATAGTTAGACATGATAATGTGATTTTCCCAACTTGTCTTATTGATATCAAATATACTTGTCACTAAAATTGTAATTGTAATTTTCTGATATCACCGAGGTTCTTAGATTAGTTTACCTCCGATCAAGGTCACCTAGATGCAATTTCAGAAGTGACTCTGAATACATTGGTAGGCATGAAAACTTTCTAAAATATCACATTCTGATTCAGAATTGTCTCAGATATTCAGAAATGTTACAATATACATGGTGTTCCATTTAGAAATTTAGAACCGAAGCTATTTCCAGTGAAATCGGAAGTGACTGGCAAGTAAAACAAAAGGGAAACTATTCTCTTCATATACCTTTTATCTATACCAAATCTCATTTTGATACAGATATTAGTATGTAAGTTGTTAACTTGTCTAATAAATTCATTTACACCCGATATAGCCAGAGATATAGGTATGTAGATTCCTGAACCATTTTGCCAAAAAACATTATCAGTTGGTTGTTCTCAGAAGTGTCCTCAAGCATATTTCAACAACAATCATTCACTAATTTTTTTATAAATTAATATCACAAGGAGAAATAATTGTTTGTATTGGATGAACTACTATTTCGCCTGTAGAAAACTACATTAGGTATTAGCGAGCAATGTGGGCAGTATATGCTTTTCAAAGACGTATAAATCTATACCAAAATTACAATAATGTAGTTGAAAAATGTTTAACAAGGCAAATGTTTTGCGTGCGTGCTGAGAAACGTTCATGGTGTTCAATGAAATCAATACTTTGAAGGGGCACCCATAAAATAGTGTAAGAATTTCATAATGAATTAACAAGGCAAGCAAAATTCCATACGATCTTTTTGAAGATTTTGTTTTCATTTCCAAAAGTTTTGGAAATGAAAACTGATATCCAAAATTGATTATGAAAAACTAAACTAGCTGACCTGACACTTGTAGAAGATTCAGTTTACTGAATTGTTTCGGCTGCGCGGAAAACTCGAACATTCTTTTCAAATCTTCTCCCTTGATTTTTGCTATATCAATAGTATTCCTGAAAGGTTGTGCGGTGGACAGTTCATTATAGGTAATATCTGAAAATGTATACATTCATAACACATATACATAATGGTATAAGATTGATCTAGAAATGTAAATGTTTCTTCTGAGTATATATGAGTATACACATTCATTATAACGTATCAAAGTGCAATAAAATTAATCTTGTAACATAATATGGGCTTTTTCCAAATATGTTTTGAAAACAAAATCAGTAGAACTCCTGTGAAATTCATGAAAATAAGAAAAAACATTTCAAGACCAAATGGTGTAAAACAGTAATGCAATTTCAGATCATCGGTGTCAAAATCTGTCCAAGTAGTTCAACTCACAGATGACCTCGGAAGTTTCAATTATTTTTATTGAAAAATAAATAGGTTATTGCAAGCAAATTAGTCAATGAGGTTTTCCGGATCAAACCGCAGATATTCCAAGAAAATTTTGAGTTATTGAGTTCGATACAATGAAAATCAATATCAGACGTTTCACTTCACATTATTACTGTAATAATCTACTCAGCAATTGAACATTCATCATCTGAAAATATTTTGATGAAGCACGATCTACATTTCATATAATATACTAACTATTATTGCTTGTCTGTAATCAAATATAATCAGTTATTCGATTCCATTTGACTGCCACCATAGCTAATAACCCCCAAAACTGTCATCAATAGTACTAGTTGCGTGGTAATGCATATATGTATTATTCTTGTTTCACAAAAGAAGTGGATGTGTACATTTAGTAGATAGAAAATGTTTTGGTATTGATGAAATAAATGAATGGGTAAAATATCAGATGACACAGACGATCTCCATTGATGGAATTTATAGTTAATGGGAAGTTTTCAATTAACTTCCTGTCAAATTTTTTTGTCAGAATAAAAAACTCAGTTAGAACGTTAATACATTATCAAAAAAAACTTCTATTTATTGTCCCGGTGTTTCCCAATATAACTCGAAGTTCTTGGTACTTCTCACTTTTCACGATACAGTGTTTCACTTCTTCAATTCTTCTTTAACTCTTTTTCATCCCTACAAACTCATGTCAATTACTGAATTCTCCCGAACAAAATTCGCAATTGACTCTGTAACTTCTACAGCAACAGTCCCGTTACTCACTAGAGAGGATCTAGTTTTCTGTGCTATGAATGTTTACTGCTAACTTCGACCAACTCATAGTTTGGCCTTACGAGACCCGTAACTTTATCTCTTGCATTTCTCGCGATGTTTTATGAAATAATTAACTTACTTCCGATATTTAAGTCGCCCCTCAATCCTCCTGGATTGGTTACAGCACAATCCACTCCACTCGTAGAACCGTTGGATGATGACTCATACTAAAAAAGTTTTGGAAATGTAACAAACAATCAATTATTATTTGCGTTCGTGGATATTCGAAAATTTGTTCCATGATGCAAATATTGAACCATAAAGGCAACTTTATACAGTTTTGAGATATATACCGGAATATTTGTCAAATCCCTTGAAGCATAATAATTTTGAATTGTTGTGCTTTTTATTTCTGTTCCATTTATTCCAGTTTATGTATTATTCTCTCGTTATTGTACGGACAAAGGATATGAATTCACGAAAAGTATGACATATATATATAAAACAAGACGTAAGTGGAACTACTTATTGGTGTGATACCCAAGTTACCTTGCCAAGTTGTTCATGTCGCGGTTGGTGGTTTGACGTAGTGGTCAATTTACCTCTGTTTATCTTTTACTAAATATAAAATGGGATGACAATATGTTTGCGATATACTCACTGCGAATACCATGGAATCTGTCACGAAATCGCCCAGAGAACATTCTTGATAATGACATCTCGTTATATTCAATGACAAAAGAGTTGACCCTATGACCTTTTCACCTTGGGCATCAATCAATTTCTGCCAAGGAACCAGCATTTCATTTATTTTCTCATCTGAAATGTAATTTATTTTCGAAGTAGGAGAAGACTAATGGATACAATCTAGAAATATAAGACTCTGTAGCATCAATGTTTGATGCTACAGAAAATTCACAACTGGGTTATAGAATGTTATATATGTAGAAAACATTTGACAGCAGTTTTTATGAAGATATACCTTGAGGAAACAAACTATCCAAAAATATTGGATTTCCAGAGAAATGATTAACTTTTCCATGTTTGTTCAGCAACATTGTAATGTTACCCAAATATCTACTAGCGCAGGATACTTGCGTAATCAAAACTTTTTGACCATGTTTGCTTCTTACTATCGTCGGATAAGGTCCCCGAACAGGCTCAGGTCCAGGTGGTTTATCTGGAAAACAGACAAAATGATATTTCATTCAAATAATTCATACACATCAGAGATCGAACTGTCTGCAATTGCTCCTCAAATTTATAAATAAAATATGAGAAACAAATACGTGTTAGATCTACAGCTTATTTTCTTGATTTCATCGACCATTCAAGAATACGAAAAAGTTTCGATATGATCGATATGAGTAACTCCAAAACAAACAAGTGAATGTATATCTTATAAACATATTTGAAATCAATCAACTTCCACGTAATAAACTATCACGATGACATAGAGGTCTGCTATAAAAAATAACGTTCATAAAATACTTCCGTTAATTTAGTTTTGAAATAAACTTCATACTTTCCAGAATTCTCACAAGCAAACAGAGGGTTCAGCAATAACATATCGATATCAGAAATCATTTTCAGGTCCAACTTGGAGAGAAACTTCTCATGAACATTTGTCGTAAAGGTCTCAACTTCTAAACTACAGAATTACTCCAAAGAGAAAAATGATACTTCACTACTTCATCGCACTTTCATCCTGGTTTTCATGTAACTCTCAAAAATAATTCATGCGACAGAATGATTTCTTGTGGCAATATTCTGAAATTAGAAAAACCTAATTACAGTTTGAATGAAATGCTAACACAGGGAAAAAATTGTTCTGAGGTCACAAAAAATATTTTCGTACAGACTATTTACTATTCAACAAAATATTGGCAATCAACACATATGACAAAAAAAATATGTATTGATTATCGTGTGAATTTTTGTGCGCTGATTTCAAAATCAGCTCAACTGATTTGGGTGGTTTCCACTAATTTATTTTTGTGAGCATAGAAACTTGGTTCAATTGGTTCGACTGGAATTTCAGTTGAAAACATCAATAATTTGTGAAGCAGTTTTTTTCATAAATCAACCCTGTTTCACAAAATTGTACTCCTGAATTGATAATTATCTCTGAAAATTATACTTGGCTGAAAACACACAAGCATAGAAAGCCCATTGGAAACTTTCATATTGTTGACCCCATTAGCTGCATTTCTACCATCAAACTAGAAACTATATGATCATCATGATCATCCAATGAGTTGTGCATTAATCTAGTTTTCTCGAAGAATCATTCAACTTGTACAATAAAACAACAGAACTTCACTATGAAATAGCTTCAAATATTTCACCTCCTGTGAAGAGAAAGGTGTGTGTATGTCCTCCAACGATTAAGCTAATACTGGTCGAAGCGTTAGCAGCTATCTCCTTGTCAATACTGTATCCAGAATGAGACAAAACAATGTTCGTGAAGACGTCTTCTTCTCTAACTAAACGTTCAGCTTCTTCGTTGACACTTGCAGACTCAGGAAGAAATTTCAAATTTCCAGTATTGGACTTTGTCTAAAACAAAAAGTAGTCATTGCAAGGTTCACTCATTTTTCAAAATAGGTTGAAGTCATAGTATTTGTTAGTGAAGTTATTTAAAGGTGAATTTTCATTAAAAAGTTTTATGACACAGCCGAAATAACTGAATTTCACATGATCCACACTTTTTTCAAAAACCAAGTGAGTTTGAAAGTTTTATTATTTCTCAAGAGGAATCTATAACTGAGAAGCCAATAAATCACAAAGAAATTATGTGTTTGAATGTATCTGCTCCAATATCCCTTTCAGTCTTACATTGTATGTTACGTTATAAACAATAATACAGTATAAGCGTAACTTCTTTATGGCCTGGATTACCGCAAGGACTTAGAGGGTCAGTGGCGACCCTAGCAGAGCATTTGCTAATTTTTGTAAAAATAAGATTGGCAGCACTGGTGGAACCAAAGACAATTGATTTACTATGTCAAACTCAAAACCAAAAATAATAAAATGTTAGAAATGTAAACAAACCGGACACTATCGTACTCAGCGCACGAATATTGATTAGAATACATGAAATACTGAAGCATTTGAATGCAAACAAATGAATGCTTTCAGTGCTGTGTTCTTCAATGGAAATTTTTCAAATAATGATTGGTATGTTGCCGGATTTAGACTTCGGTGCCCCATAGGCAGAGCATGTGGTGGAGGCCATCAAATCGTTTATGGTTAACTGTTGAAAGTTTCTATTAAGATCAAGTTAAAGAAGAAAGCAACCGAATAAATTGGCTGACATAAAATTTGTTCAAAATTAAACTAGGGGTACCTACAAGCTGAATAATTTTTCGTCTGATTTTCACATTGATGAACGTATCGATAATATCGCCGAAGTCTGTTTCCATCAATACATCACTCTCTAAACTAAGGAGAGCCAAAATATTTAATCTGTCCTCAGTCATGGAACTACGGAGTTTCAGTTTCAAAAAGGATCTTTCAGCCGTACAATTTGTCACTATTAGTGTGACATAAATTCTCAGAATCACCTCAACGTTGGGAAAGCACTCTAACATTGTTTTTTCTTTTATTTTCAATGTTTGATTTTAATCAAGTAAGCAGTGCTGCAGCAGTGTTCAAGTCTAACTTAGGATTTTGTAGGCTTTCGCTGACTTTGTTTATATTTTCCGAAATATCATCCCAAAAAACTGTATATATAGCTGTTTCTAACTTTGCCATACCATCATGCAGACCCACAGCTGTTGCTCTTGATTTAGCTGTGTCTTCTTCGTCCTCAATAATTTCTTCGAGGGCATTTATAAAATCTTTATAGCCTCGCAAGACTGCTTTAGTGGCTTCAACTTGACATGACCAGCGAGTTGTCGTTCTTTTCGGCAAAAGAATAGGTTGGTCAGTTTTTGCTTCTCTCAAACAGCGACTAACTGTATTGTACCTGTTAGTTGAAGCCGTAAAATATATGAACAGCTTTTTTAAAAAAACAAATAAACTTGTTGCTCTGAGACAACAACTGGCTGCCGATTGTATGACAAGATTAAGTGAATACCTAACACAGGGCACCCAAGCTACTAGGTTATTTTCTTCTTGTATCAATGCTTGTAGGCTATTATCCCATTGTCCATTGTCGTACGGCTGTCCATGAATATTCTTCAGATCCAGCTCTGGAAAATTAATCAAACCCTCATACATATCCTTTGTCTTATGATCCTGGTTAGGCATAAACGTAAGAACACGCTCAACAGGAGCGTGCCCCTCAATAAATCGAACCACTAACGTCAATTGTTCAAAATGGCCTTCGTCAGGAGTCGAGTCCAGAGAAACTAAAAAATAGTTTGCAGTTTTCACGCGATCAATAATCTTTTTAAACGGCTTTTCCTAAAATTTCTAGCAGTTCCTGACAAATCGTGTGTGACAAGTAGTTTGTGTGACCACTTCCGCGGTTGCCATGTTCTTCCAAATGTTTTTTTAAAACATCGTAATCAGCTAAAAGTTCTAATATTTCAAGGTAGTTGCCCTTGTTGTTGCCCGAAAGTTTCGTTGTTTCCTCTAAATGCCAATCCCCTTTCGCTAAGAAATCCTATGACTCGCAATACTCTTTCAAGAACTTCTCACCAATATTTAACACTTCCATTTGCTCCGACAGTTCTCGATCTATGCGACCAATTAGTTGGGATCGCCCACTATAATCGATTGAAGCCTTTAAATAATTTTTTGAGGTTTCATGTTCAATCAATCGTGCGACGCCATTTCTCCAATCACAAAAGCCCTCATGNAATTACAACCAGCCGTGATTTTATCATTATTGAGAAACCTACCCAGGAAGAAGGTACAGTTCAGATTGAAGAATTACAACCACAGACTGAATTATCTGAAGTGCACTGGGATTCTGTCAGTTATCTAAGTCAATATAATAGTAATTGTCATACAGATGATATTGAGGTTATGCAAAGAGAGTGTTGAAATATTTGATAAGACTAATTCCTATAGTATTAAGTATTGTGATAATAGAATTTCCAATATAGAAGGTTTTGTGGATGCCGATTGGGCAAATAATACAATAGATATGTGGTCCTATACCGGATTTTGTTACTTATTGTCTAATGGTGTCATATCTTGGGAGTGTGAAAGGCAAAAGGCTGTAGTTCTATCAAGTTGTGAAGCTGAGTATATGGAAATGTCTGAAGCTTAAAAAGAAGCAATATACTCAAGGTCTTCGCAATTTGAAATTACCAATGAAATGTACACTTTATCTTTATATATGACAATCAGAGCGCACAAAAGCTATCGACAAATCCAGTATTTTACAGTAAATCTGAACACATTGATGTGGAATATAATTTTACCAGATAATGTGTTTCAAATAATATATGGTAGGTTTGAAATATTTGCCTACAGCTGATATGCCCGCTGATTTGCTAACAAAAAGTCTATGTGCAGAGAAACATTATATGTTTGTGAAAAAGTTAGGTGTTGTTAACATGTAAAATGTTTAATATCATTATTTGAGATGGTGGAGGTGTTGAAAAGTATCTAAAATAATATATTCTATATAAAGTAGTGACCTCTGTAGTCGTCGGTTTAAAACCTTCTCTGTGTCATGCCTATGAATAAAATAAAAGTCCAATTTCATGAGTATCACAACTGGCTCGTTTTATTATACTCCCAATTATGAAATCAACCAGAGCAATTTTTAACGTGTGAGTGCACACGCTCTGATAAAGCACTTAAGTCTCTGATTATTATTCACTATTCGTCAATTATAATTCTCATTATTCACAAATTTTCAATAATGAAATGATATTGAATATCATTTTGAATTGAATATCATTCAATTTGAATGATATTGAAAAATCATTCAAATTTTTTTTCTGAATGTGGAGTACTTCAGAAATAATCATTTATTCACTTCCAATAGTAAAATGCCTAATTTCAATAAAACGAATACTACTGATGTCTTCGTCAATGAATATGCTAGCAGATGTAAAGTAATATTTTCTATTTTTCACCAACTCTTTTGAAACTCTTTTTCCAAATGACTGTTCTCTGCGAGAGAATGGATAATAGTTCTCAAAGTAGGAATATTCTGTAAAAAAACTGAACTCTAATTTTGATGCTATTCCCAACCACCAAAGTTGTTTTGTAATTCCATGGTGTTGCAACAGTTTTATTTTATTAGTATTTCATAATTACTTCCAAAATGCTAACTGATTGTATTAGATGATCGGTGAACACAATACAGTTGTAGGCAATAAAAGTGTTTTATAAATTTGTCATAGAAATGTTTATGAAATAAAATTAAATTTCACCATTTTTACATCTTTTAGTTGAAGATCAAAAATTTCCGTTGCAATCGTGAGATGATTAAGTCTCCCTACGTTTTTTTGAAGCTCGTCCTTGGCTTCAATCATAACCAAAAAAGGCCCAATATCTGAGTTTTTATAATAGATAGGTTTAACGGGTTTTTTTACCTGGTTGTCTGTCGTATTTGGACTATTGTTTCCCACTTCATTATTTTTTTGTTGTTTTGCTATCCTGGCTTGCTCTTCGTCATATTCATCATCCATCAAAGTATTATCATTATCACCATCACCATCCTGATTTTCCGTAGTAATAGGGGGGTTGACCCCCCCAGGATCTAACATTTTCAGGAACCCTTGCTACTCCCAATATATAATAGTCCTCACCAAAAACAAAAGGAAAAGAAAGGTTTAATTTAAAACAAAGGAAAAGTTGGTTAGATTTCGCTAGGAAAAAAAAACACCCGGTTTTGAAACACGTCTATACAGAACAAAGTTTGACAACTGAATCCCCAATATATAACATCAACATTTCGACACATCAATGTAAAGTCAAATGGAAGAAACAAAGTTCTAGATTCATAAGTTTTCGGAGTTAGGTTTGACGAACCACGTGGGAAACGAGGTGAATTTAAAAGTTAGTGTGGAAATTGGTGTTTTTTATCAATCACTAAGTTAATTTTGTGTGAGTGCGACCCTACAAAACATTAGTGAGTCAAACTTTCTATATTAATTCTATTGGTGCTTTAAGTTGCAAAACTTTCACTTGCTCAGCTTTGTGTAGTCTTAACAGTCGATGGGGGACGAATCCCCCGGTCCCCCTAGGGGCCATTCCTCAGATGCAAACATGACAATAGATAATACAAACCTAATAATTAATAATCTTCTATCCCCTTCCTCTCAAACATTTATTAAATCCTTGCATCAAATGTCCCCTGCACAGTCCCAGGCAATAGAAAAATTATACTCAGAACAATTTAAAAATGACCAAACTATGCTTATCCAAATTAATGAATTGTATCGAAAGCTACAAAGGACAATTACCTACACCAACAGTGATTTTGGACCTTTCTTGGTTATGGTTGAGAAAAAGCAAGGAACCTCATTACATCCCATGGATTTGGGCAAAATATTTCACCATAGGAATATTAAAAATATAATAAGCTTTACCAAAAAGGGTAATAACCGAATAGGAGTACAGTTTTCTAATCCACAAGATGCAAATGAATTGTTAACCAATTCAATGATTCTTTCGAAAGGTTATGCATTATACATACCTCAACGCTTCATAACAATTAAGGGTATCATTCGAGACGTGGGCCTATCAATTGATGCAGAAGATGTTATTGAATTTGGTAAATCCTCCCTAAAAATCATTGAGGCTCANATTTTTCAAACATATATCACCATCTAACATACAAACCATATCCAAATTCCTGATTGCATCCAATATAAAGCTGTAGTGATCAAGACAGACCTAATACTTGTGCGCATGCAGTGCTTTGCCAATCATGACCTGATCGTAGTGTCCATACACGTAACCGTAGTGCATCACCTCACATTAGTGCTTACACTCTAATGCAGACGGACATTGCTTGTTAACTGACCTCAAACTACAGTCGAACTTTGTTATAGCGCAAAACCAAGTGGGGTTTGGGTCCAGCTCAGATCCACTTTAGTGTGGGCTCCACCTGTAGTAGCAACATGATCCTGGAACTCCTGGCAGCTGAAGCCATTCATGGAAAAAGAAGAAGAAGTTCTATATTCAGGACACACTGCCATAGGTGTGTTTTATTCCAAATCTGTCATTTCCTGCTCGATCAAAATACATCGAGAAGTTGTGTTTTATTGGCACTCAAATTGAGTAATTTCCTTCAAAAGTTATTCGTTATCTATGCTCGTTCAAACAATGTCGGCGTCCTGAAAAGTCTATAATTAAAGAGACGAAACGTATACTTTTCCTATTATGCGTATATATGATGAATGGTACTGTGCTTTATCAATATGATTTTGCTCTGAAAGTATTGTCCTGTAGGGAGTTTAATATATAAAATAAAAAACATTCTCAAACAATTACACGAGTTGGATATCGAGTTGAAGCTTTTCCTATGTGTAGATGAAAGAGAGTAATGACCACTATAACAGCATCGGGTCCAATTTCAGGAATGGCTGTATAAGGTACACCACGATAAATATCGAAGAAACCCGATGGTCAGGCATGAAGGTAGGTAATTCGGTACGGGAATATGGGATCATGAGTGAGCTTCTGGTTCACTCAAGTGGTGAAATCGTGGAACGCGACCTTATTATGTTGGCCTCACTGAATGAGTGGAACGAGGTTTGAAGTGAGTTCCTTGTTGTCATTGCCATTGAGGTTATGGAAAGTTTGTTTACATTTGAAGTAGTTGAACCATAAGACAGTGGCGGTTGGTTTAGTTGATAATCGGAGGGATATTATATATTTATAAAATCAATCATTTCAGGTGAAAACGTATTCTGTTCAAATAGTTCCTATAGGAAATTTGATTTATTATTTATTAATGATTATGGAAATGAATCCAGTTTTTCTACCACCTACTAGATTATTATTTATTATAAAGCCATACATAAATAAAAATCTAGTAGGTAGTAGAAAAACTGGCACCATTTTCATAATCATTAAGAGACCATGGAAGCACGTGACTAAATTATTATCTGTCAACGATATTTTCATCTCTCTTCTTGCTTTACTCTCTCTAGCCAAATTAATCATTGACGCACGTTCCTGCTGGCGGGTACCGGAAGTGAGCGCGAGAATAACGTAAATTATCTCACCACCTAGGACAGTCCCGCTGATCTAGCAGTACCACCACCCTGTTCCAGATGCTGACAAGACAGTTCTCACAGGAGCGCACATCTTCGATGCTTCGCATCCAGAGTCAGTCAGATTTCATTCCTCAAACCAATAACACGTATAATTTCATTTATTTTGTACTTCTGCATTGCAAAATTCATGGAACGCATGTCGTAGATTGAATAGTGGTATATTACTGGTGGGGCAAAAATGTACGTGTTAATACCCACAAAGTTGAGCTGGAAAAATGTTATTTCGAAAATCTGAAAATGGTGCATTGTTTTACTCCTGGATGTAACCATAGGTATACAAGCAATTGCAATATGTTTGCAATTCCAAGGAATGAAAAATAAGCAAAAATATATAAAAATATACTAATAACTCTCATGAAGTTGAGAATGAATTTTCCCCACTTAGATTTTGCCACTCGATTTAATTGCAGCCCAACAACTATTACAAATACTTTTTTTACTTGGGTTCTCCTTATTCATAAAACACTTTACAGTGAGTTCATGACGAAACTCCCATCGAGATGTAAAATTATAACATGTCTCCCTAATTCTTTCTCTCATTTACCAACTGCAGGCTTATTATATTGACTGTACAGAGGTAAAAATTACAAATACAAAGGATATGAACATGAAGAAACAAACTTACAGCAATTATAAGCGTGCAAATACTTATAAAGTATTGGTGGGAGTTACCCCAAATGGCGTTATATCATTTGTAAGTAACATGTTTCCTGATTCAACGTCAGACAAGCAAATATTTGATGAGTAAATTGAATAATCATTTAGAACCAGGATGTTTCAAAGCCTGGAGTGACCATTAATGTGCCTCCATTTCTAATGATCAATCAGTTCACTGAAAGTGAATCCATGAGGACATTAGAGATAGCTAGACCCAGAATTCACGTAGAGCAGACAAATGCAAAAATTTCAGAATTTTGAATTTAATTCCTGGTTCAATGAAGAAATTCTCTTCTGCAATATTTCAAGTTATATGTTCTCTTGTTAACTTACAAAACCCTTTAGTTAAAAATATTGTAGAGGAAAATGAATGAATTTTCATTTTACCTTTTTTTAAGAAACCATTGAATGTTAAGTTTTTACTTTTCCAGAGTTTTTAGTTTCAATAGAATGACTTTTTTTATATATTAATTTTTTATTATCAGAAAGTTTTTTTTTGATTTGTGCAGATTCTACTTTTTTCAGAGTTTTCTTTCTCTAGTCCTACACAATATAGTTACGTGTATTGAAATGAAAGGTGATTTAATTTGGGTTTTTCATATAACTATTTTTCCTCTGAGTCAATAATAAAGAGAATACAAACTGTCTATGCTTTGGCGTTGAAAATAAGTTGAGCTGAACAATTTCACTGCCATTATACCTATCAACTTGTTACATACTTCCTGCATATGAATTAATTTAGGATTATTTCACAATATATCTGATATGAGTTTTTATATAAAAATCAGCAAATCAATTAATTACATGTTTTCTCATTCATCTCAGAATACAAAACAAGCAGTAACTGCATCAAGTAAATGAATAGCAAATGTGCTGTAGGTATATTGATATTTACAAATTGTCCTATTTAATGTTTTTCTGTGATAATATGACTGTGTTGGCTGGAATATTTAGTTGATGGCCTTTTGGTATTCACCAATAAAGTACTTGTATTATTATAATCATTACGACTGTGATAAATATGACTGTGAAGAATGATTTACTTTTAGTATAAACATCACATTTTCCAATATCAGTAAACAATGTCAAAATTCATTTGCATATATTATAAAATAATAAATACAATACAACATGAGCTTATATAAGTGAGATATTCATTCAAATGAAACTCTTGTAGTATATTAATATTTTTTCCCAACTCTTATCCTTTTCAAATGTCTTAATGCGGCACCATCAGCAGTGGTCCATAAAACTATTGTCCCTTCCAGTAATGTGTAGCTGTCACTTTTCTTCAAATTATCTGCCAAGGGGGAGTTTTTCAAGGTATATGGACACTTGACTTCAATTATTCCATAAGTTTTAATTTTTTACACCCTCTCCGACGGCACTGCAAATTGATTTGATCGTGTACTTGACATCTATGAATAATGCTCGTTAATGAATTTCTCACTGTATTGTAGCACATTATTCATAGATGACATGTACAAGATCAAATCAATTTGCAGTGCCGTTGGAGAGAGTGTAAAAAATAAAAACTTACATTTTTTGACATATTTTTGCTTATATCTCCGTTAATAAAGGATGATCGTTATTGAATTTCTCACTGTAATGTAGCACATTATTTATAGATGTCAAGTACATGATCAAATCAATTTGCAGTGCCATCGGAGAGGGTGTAAAAAATGAAAACTTACATTTTTTGACATATTTTTGCTTATATCTCCGTTAATAAAGGATGATCGTTAATGAATTTCTCACTGTAATGTAGCACATTATTTATAGATGTCATGTACAAGATCAAATCAATTTGCAGTGCCGTCGGAGGGGGTGTAAAAAATTAAAAATTTTTTTTTTTTTACATATTTTTGCTTATATCTCATTAATAGTGGATGATCGTTGATGAATATTTCACTGTAATGTAGCATATTATTCATAGATGTCATGTACAAATTCAAATCAATTTACAGTGCCGTCGGTGAAAGTGTAAAAAATGAAAACTGAATTTTTTGACATATTTATTTTGAAAGGTTTCAATGCCCCCTACTATGCCTACATTGAAAGTGGACGTTGCCCAGCAAGAACCACGTAGAGGTGTAGGGGTATCTCTAAATTCTTCGAAATGAACATATCTTAATATGCTCAAACTCGATAATAAATAAAATGAACATTATTCAAAAATGAATATCTCATTTTTCTTGAAATCATAAATAATATCAACATTCTTCGAAATGAACATAGCTTAATATGTTCAAACTCGATAATAAATAAAATAAACATTATTCAAAAATAAACATAAAGAAAATAAATACTGGCAACTCAATATGCTGAACATAAAGGACAAATACCAAGTTTGCATCAAAGACTATCTTTCCTTGAATCATATTCAGAAATATCGATACATTTCGCATGACTTATCTTCTGACAACTGCTGCATGTTACTTCAAAAGATAATTGTGATACTTCACTTTCGCAAAACAAACATTTGTCACTCATATCATGGAAAGACCGAATTTTAATTAAACTATTTCAAACTATTCCTATAATGTGTTATATTAACATTATTATTTAAATTTTCCCCATTCACTAACTTATTGAAAAAAATATATAATAAAAACCCCACAGTTATATGAATCTACTTGTTTATCGTGTTCTTTAATTTCGATTGACCACTTGTCAGTATCTAAATATGTTCCATTGACTTCATTATAATATTTTAAATACTTCAAAAATGAATTCAAATATTTATAAATTTCAATTTTACTACTTCCGTAGCGGTTCAAGAAAATGATTTTTTTATTTTCAATATCCACAAGCGCTAAACAAAAATGATGAGAACTTGAATTATCTGAGTAATCTGAATTTTGAATAATTGGAAATACTACATGATTTTTTCAATTTGGAATTCAGTAATTGAATGATGTTTCTCTCCATTGTCAAATAAGAATATTCTGGTAGCCAGCATGCAGGTTACAATTTGAAATGTTTTTTCAGGATCATTGAATATGTTCTGGCAAATATCTACAATAAAATATGTAAGCCAAGCTTTCCCAGATAATATTTCAAAATCTTCATTTGTAATTTCTTTCACTTCACAATTGAAATTAGGAAAATACGAAATATAGTAATTTCTTCCAATGCTTTTATAATATTCTGAAGCAGAAACTAGCCCATTTGGTAATATATTCAGTTCATTTACAGGTTTCCATTTAATAAATCTAGGTGTGACCACTGCCCCTGAGAGAACCGGAAGCATAATAAAATTAAAAAAACTGTTCAATTTAGGAAACATATTACCCCAAAAAAGTTTATTTCTATATATTCGTTCTACTTTAATACCCTTAAATGTCCAAATTACCAAATCACACCAACACCTGTCAGTTATCTCAAGAAGCCCTTGAATCTGATATTGATATTTATGATTTTTCAAAAGAAGTCCAGAACGTTTATCACAAAAGGTTATTTTACCAAGAAAGCATGCCTCATTGGGATTCAAATTTCTACATGAATAAGAACATTTAACCTCAACCAAACCATCATTACCCATCTGGAGATCCAGCAATGAACTGATATCTACTATATAAAAATAAGTCGGGTTTTCCTTCCTGACGCTATAACTCCAGAACGCACGAACCGATTTCCACGGTTTTGCATTCGTTGGAAAGGTCTCGGGCTCCGTGAGGTTTATAGCAAAGAAAATTCAGGAAAAATTCAACAGAAAAGCGGGAAAATAATTTTTCACATATTTTAAGTACATTGTTTGACAGCTACTCATTGTTCTCTGCTCAGTTAATTTCATGTGACAAATCGGTATTGTGTTCAGTGTGAAATTGTGAAAAAAAAGTAAAAAAAAATAAGTTATTCGTTTGCTAACATTTCAATTGGAAACCATCAAATCAATCACGTGTATTGTGCAAATTTTTATTCAATTTCAACAGCAGGCATTTGTCTTTAAGGTGGTAAGTTGAACTGTGTAAATTATGTGGATCGTGCATTTGAGGTTAAATTCACCACTCTGTCCATGGTCCAAAATGCCTAGAGGACGACGTGCGAACATCGGCGGCCGCACAAGACATGCCAGCCAGCAACAAGTGTATTCACAGAACTTAAGCGAAGAAAGACAAAATATAATAAGAGAAAATGCCCGATTGAGACAACGCGTGAGCACACGAAGATCATTGGCATCATACAATCGCTTGGCATTCCAATATGATCCCACTGCGAACTACAGTGATGATGAAAATTTAGATATTGGACCAATGACGACTGTATGCCGATATCAACACAATGAATTGCAACACATAACAACTACATATATACCACACACTACACCATCACACGATCAGAAGTTACACCGTATTCTTCAACAAATGATTGTTTGCAATTACAGATACAAGGACAAATATATCATTTGCATGGTTCAATGGTGCCAAAACCAGATGAACCGCATCAATTTCTGCAAATATATTTCATTTCGTTGATGGTGGATCAGCTGAATGTGCGGTGCAATATACAGAGAACACAACAGTTAAAGAGACGAATTATTGAACAGTTGCAAGCATTTTTTCACGCTAATAACGCTGTGGTTAATATGTTCAAAACAGCATTGGAACGAATGCCATCGGATACGCACAAATTTGTCATAAGAGCTGATTGTACCCCAACAGGTGAACATGTGCGAAGATTCAATGCACATGATGTTGCTGCAATTATTGTCGGCGATCCAACTAAATCGCGAGACATTGTCGTTCAGCGAAGAAGCAATATCATGCATCGTGTAAACAAGACACATCGTTTGTACGATGCGTTACAATATCCAATCATTTATTGGCAAGGGCAAGACGGATACGACATCACGTTGAAGATGGACGATCCAATCACAGGTACAATATTCACACACTAAATTGGTTTCCATTAACAATTCATTTAATTTTGCATTTTCAGGCGTATCAACGAATAAAAATCTAAGCGCAATGAATTACTATTCGTATCGTATGATGATTCGTACACATGAGGAGAATGTCATTCTGAAGTGTCGTCGGCTATTCCAGCAATTCGCTGTCGACATGTATGTCAAAGTCGAGACCGAACGTTTAGCGTTCATCCGATTCAATCAGGCAAAGCTACGATCTGAGGACCATATAGGTACACTTGCGTGATGCTATTCATTCAGATGGTGATGTTCAGAATATTGGACGTCTGACGATTCTCCCATCATCTTATATCGGAAACCCACGCCACATGCACGAATACGCTCAAGACGCTATGACGTACGTGCGAAATTATGGAACTCCGGATTTATTTATTACGTTCACATGCAATCCGAAGTGGACGGAAATTGAACCTGAGTTGGAACCGGGCCAAAAACCGCAAGTTCGCGATGACATAATCGCCAGAGTATTTCAGCAAAAACTCAAGGCTATGATGGATGTGCTTACTAAGTATCGAGTTTTTGGTGACACACGTTGTTATATGTACTCGGTGGAATGGCAGAAGCGTGGACTACCGCATGCTCATATCCTAATTTGGTTGCTGAACAAATTGCATTCAAATGAAGTGGATGACATCATATCAGCTGAAATTCCTGATCCAGTCACTGATCCCCATCTACACGACATTGTGACGACACAGATGGTGCATGGACCGTGCGGTGCATTAAATCCATTATCGCCTTGCATGGCTGATGGAAAGTGCACAAAACGATATCCGCGCCCGTTAGTTGCTGAAACAGTCACAGGGAACGATGGATATCCAGTTTATCGTCGGCGTTCAAAAGAAGATAATAGTCGAACTATCAAAGTTAAAGTTCAAAATCAAGAGATTGAGATCGGAAATGAATTCATTGTACCATATTGCCCGCTGCTGTCACGAATTTTCGAAACACATGCAAACGTTGAGAGTTGTCATTCGGCCAAATCAATCAAATATTTTTGCAAGTACGTCACAAAAGGCAGCGACATGGATGTGTTTGGTATTGCGTCGGAAAATGTGAATGACGAAATCAGCAACTTCCAAATGGGCAGATACATCAGTACTAATGAAGCACTGTGGCGATTATTGTCATTTCAAATTCATAAAAGATATCCCACAGTTGTACATTTAGCAGTGCATTTAGAAATGGCCAAAGAGTTTACTTCACTGAGGCTAATGCGGCACAACGAGCTGAGAGACCACCATCGACAACATTGACTAGCTTCTTTGCAATGTGTGAAGCAGATCCATTCGCAGCGACGCTGATGTACGTTGAAATGCCCAAGTATTACACTTGGAATCAATCAACAAAGAAATTCCAACGTCGCAAACAAGGAACCCCAGTTCCAGATTGGCCATAGGTGTTTTCCACTGATGCACTAGGTCGCATGTATACTGTTCATCCTAGAAATGATGAATGTTTTTATTTGCGACTGCTGTTGGTAAATGTACGTGGGCCAAAATTATTTGCGCATTTGAAAACTGTGAATGGCCACCAATGCCAAACATATCGAGAAGCATTTCAACTATTGGGTTTGCTGGAGAACGATTCTCATTGGGATTTAACACTTGCGGATTCAGTTGTTTCATCAAATGCGTACCAAATACGAACGCTGTTCGCAATTATCATCACCACATGTTTTCCTTCACAACCAATTCAGTTATGGAACAAATACAAAGACGACATATGTGAAGATATCTTGCATCGCTTGCGCATTCAAACGAATAATCCTGACATCCAAATAACCGATGAAATCGACAATGAAGGATTGATTCTGATTGAGGATCAATGCTTGACTATTGCAAACAAGCTACTGATTGAAGTAGGAATGATTGCGCCAAATCGATCGATGCACTCAACCAAGAATTAAATCGAGAGCTGCAATACAATGTTGATACATTGCAGGAATTCGTTCGAAATAATGTGCCGTTGCTGAATGAACAGCAAAAACAAGTATACGAAACATTAATGCAAGCGGTGGACAATAATACTGGTGGTCTATTCTTCCTGGACGCACCTGGAGGAACAGGGAGAACATTTGTCATTTCATTGATTTTGGCCACTATTCGATCAAGATGTGACATAGCTTTGGCGTTAGCATCATCTGGAATTGCGGCGACTCTTCTAGATGGCGGTCGCCGTACTGCACATTCTGCGCTTAAGTTGCCACTCAATTTAAACACAATTGATACTCCAACATGCAATATTTCCCGATACAATGCAATGGGAAAATTGTTGATGCAATGCAAGCTCATTGTTTGGGATGAGTGCACAATGGCACATAAGAAATCTCTTGAAGTACTTAACTTCACACTGAAGGATCTTCGGCGAAATAACAACATCTTTGGCGGCTTGATGATATTGTTGGCAGGCGATTTCAGGCAGACGTTGTCAGTAATTCCCCGTGGAACGCCTGCAGATGAATTGAATGCTTGCCTGAAGGCATCACCTTTATGGAATAACGTAAAAACATTATCGTTAACCACTAATATGAGAGTTCAACTTCAAAATGATCAAAGTGCTGCACAATTTTCCAAACAATTGTTAGCTGTTGGAAATGGGAAAGTCCCAGTTGATGCGACATCTGGATTAATTACTCTTACCAACGACTTTTGCCGATTTGTAGACTCTCAATTAGCTCTTATTGAAAATATTTTCCCAAACATTAGTGAGAATGATCAGAATTATGCTTGGTTAAGTCAACGAGCAATTCTTGCCGCAAAGAATAATGATGTACACGCACTGAATTTCACCATTCAATCAAAAATTGCTGGCGATTTGGTGACATACAAATCCGTTGATTCCATAACAAATCCCGATGATGTAGTAAATTATCCAACGGAGTTTTTGAACTCTCTGGAGTTACCAGGATTTCCACCACATAACTTGCAACTCAAAGTTGGTACAGTTATTATGATATTGCGTAATTTGAATCCACCGCGACTTTGCAACGGTACTCGACTTGCGGTAAAAAGACTTATGCCGAATTTGATTGAGGCAACCATTATTAACGGAAAGTACGCAGGTGAAAATGTATGTATTCCTCGAATACCAATGATTCCGACTGATCTTCCGTTTTACTTCAAACGATTGCAATTTCTAGTTCGCCTTGCGTTCGCAATGACAATTAACAAGTCTCAAGGCCAATCGCTTAGTATTTGCAGGATAAATTTAGAAAATCATTGTTTTTTACATGGGCAGTTATACGTTGCGTGTTCACGAGTTGGGAAACCATCCGCTTTGTTTGTGTTGACGTCAGACCAAAAAACAAAAAATGTGGTTTACCAAAGAGCACTTCAATGAAACGGATAATTTGCGGACACGTATAACGCTTCGATTCAGTATTTACTTTGGATTCACTTTCATTTACTTAGAGAAGTTCAACTAAATAACACTTCATTTTTGTAATCGAAATGAATTCATTACTGTTGTGAAATGAAATAAAATTTTTCCTTTTCAAATATAAAACAAAAAAAAATGTTTCTTCATCTTTTAATCACCAAACGAAATGTTACATAAAACGAAGCCATCTGGTGGCGAAACGGAATTCGCCGGGTTTGCTAGTAATGAAATAAAAATTGAAATTGGTAACACTACCTTTTGGAATATGTGTCTGAAATAAAGTATCTGGGAGTTATTGTAGACCACAAACCACCTACTATAGAGTAAGTAGTTTGTGTTGTAGACAACACTTTGAGTTTGAAGTCATGCTGAATACGTTAATAATTTTTAAAAAATTATATTTTTTTCTAGGATAACAAATAATTTGATTATTAACTCCAGAATATTAACATTACTACAATGGCTGTCGATTTCAAATCGATTATTCTTTTTAACAAGGGTTTTTATATTTAAAATAACCAAAAGTCTCCAACCAACATATTTTAATGAATTTTTGGTTTTCAATAATAGAATACATGAACATGAGACAAGATCTTATGATAATTTTCATATATATAGAACTCACACTGGTGGCGGAACGAAAAACTTATTCTATAAGGGACTACGGGAATTTAACAATTTGCCAAATGCCATTAAAGAGGAAAATACTGTAAGAGGGTTTAAAAGTAAATTATTGGAATACCTAGAGCGTTAGTTAGTTGGAAAATATGTATATTATGTGTATGTTACTATATCAGTATTGGTTTTCAACATTGGGTCTTATAAATTGTATATTTTTTATTATTATCTTTTTATTTAGTTTATCTTCATTATTGTTATCTATATACAGATTTGAATTTTATTAATATTTTTGGCACTGTGGAAATTTACATTGTTAATTAGTTATTATGTCTTGTAAGATTAGGATGTAACCTATAATAAAGATGTAGGGAGTTTAGACTGGCCTGAACGAATTGTTCCTTTAGATGATTTGATTGTTGAAGTTATTCATTAAATTATTTATAACATCAGAGAAGTATTCCGAAAAATCATCAGCTGTCAATTCAGACGTTACATTAGAATTTTTATTAATTCTATTTTCATCGATTATGTCCCATGCTGTTTTTTGTTTGTTATCAGCAGTTAGGAGTTGTTTGCTATTTTCCTTGTTTTATTTTATTTTTGTAGTCCTTCTTCAAAGTATACATATACTTACATATACATGAAAATCTTCATTATTCCTAGAACAAGCAATTACATGAACAGCATCCGAGGTGCGTTTTGTTTGTTGCATATCATTATCAAAAACAAACTCTTTGTTATTTTGCTTGGATAAAAGTAATTGAAATGATAATAATAACATAGAATTCTGCACGAGTCATTTTTTGTGGAGGAAAGGCAGTTTTATATCGAACTTTTTTGGATATTATCACCTTCCACAATCTATAAAATATGAAAATTATAATGAAGAATTTGTCGATAACAAAAATTTATTTGTCAATATAAAAAATCAATAACAATTTACAGTTGTTTCTTTTTTATTCATAATGCACTCATCCAACCATTTTTAAACTTGAACAAGCTTTAATTTTTTTTTTTCGTATTTTTATGAACGCATCCAATATTTTTAAACTCCATAGCTTATTGATGATATTCACATTTTCTTGTATAAATATGAAGAAGTAGATAGCCAAAGCTTCTCTCAACTAGTACTTCATGCACCAGATTATTGTATGAGTAATGTGAGACTGTAGTCTCACATTATAAACGAAGTCTCACGAAGGCCAGCTGATATTCCAAAGATTAACTGTCAACAACTGACAGCGGAAACTGGATTATTTCTAATCCGAATAAATAACTGTTTCATACCCACAATATAAATTTGACACGGAAACTGTGTTTTGAAATTCTTTTGAATTTAAGTACTGTGAAGACTTTACACACCCCCGAAGAAGCCATTGTATGGCAAAACACATGTTTCGTTTTTGTAAAACTGATGGGTGAATATCTCACAATAAAGTGATTTTGAATACGTAAGCTTTGAAACATTTAAAAATATCAAAAAATTGAAGTTGTTAGCATGTGTTAAAAGCAAAAAAATATTTGAAGGGGTTATATTTTTAGGAGTGATTAATTTTTGGGAAAATAGGTTTTTGATACAGTAAAAACATAAAATTCGAACAACACTTTCCTTTTCTTCCACATACTTTATTTTTTCATATTCCATGATGAGGCTGTTCTTCTTATTAGAGCACACTAAGGAAACTTAATCACTTTGATGATAACTTCTGCCATGATTTTTCCACTTGATGAGTACTAGGAATATGATCTTTTGCAGTGCCAAACTCCAAATAAGTCATCAGCGTTTTGACATAACGCTGATGACTTATTTTCATTGAAGCTCTCTTCTTTCTTATCGATGACTGTTTCATCCTCTATTTGAACAAAAACGTTCCCAGAATCTGTGAAAAAATTACAAATTTATAAAAAATTATTTGTTTGAAAATAATATTCATTTCTCACTTATTTACTGTCGATTTTACTCCCCAAAAAGGAGCAAACTTTTGGTTTTCTACTATACAAATAGAATAGAATAGAATTTATTCGTCATTAAAAACATTACACACATAATATATAACATTTTATCAGACTAGTCAAAACAGTTGAATATAGTTGATTCAATAATAAAATTGTAAAGATAAAATCTAAAAGCTGACAATGTTAAATGTGTTGTATAAATTCCTCATATAGTTGATGTGAAGATAAAATAATAAAATTGTAAATATAAAATAATAAAAATCCAAAAGCTTCAATGTTAAATAATAAAATTCTAAAGTTGCCATGTTAAAAGTTTATAAATTCCTCAACAGAATAAAATGCATTTGATAAAAGATAATTTGTAACAGCTGTTCTATATCTATTGAAGTTGTCTATATTTCCCAATATTTTTGTTGCTTTGTTAAAACAGATGACACCTTGATAGCTTGCAGAGTCCTGCCCGATGGTCAACCGTGAATAGGGTAGCCTCAGTTCATAACCCCGACGAGTGTTGTATGCATGCATCATATTTTGTTTTGTGAAGAGGGATACATTTTTTTATATTTGAAACTAATAATGATATATAAAGTGATGGTAGCGTCAATATACCCAATTTAATAAAACTGATCTTACATGATTCTCTGTGGTGTGAGCCAGCAATACATCTTATTATTCATTTTGAAAACTTTTATCGAGTGTGCTGAATTTCCCCAAAAGGTTAATCCATAGACTGTACAAGTCCAAAATAGGCCAACTTGAGCACTTGATGAGATACTGATCCACGTAGTTGCCTGAGTACAAAGCAAACACTACTTAATTTGGACGTCAAATAGTCAGTGTGGTTTTCCCAGGTTAATTTTTGGTCAATTATCAAACCTAGATACTTATATTGGCCTAACATCTCTATAGAAAAAGGAAACGTTTTTTTGTTGATAATTCATGAAAAAGGTTTTATTACCATTGACTAGTAGACCATTATTTGTACACCACTGAGAGAATTCACTAGCAGATGTATTTTCGGTCTGAACAGAAAGAGATAGTTCATTTTCTGCTATTATTTGATAGGTATCATCTGCATAGATTATTGTTTTTTGGGAAGATACACATGAATACCCTATATCGCTCATAAATATTATAAAGAAAAGTGGAGCCAAGGTTGAACCCTGTGGGACTCCTATTGAAACAGGGGCAGGTTGAGATTTAATTGAGTCTATAACTACTATTTGCGACCTTTGTTTTAAATAGGAGGCTACCCATTCGATTCAGTTTCTCAAGCAGCAGGACATGGTCAACTGTATCGAAAGGCCTGGTTAAATCAAAGAATAATTCGATTGGATTTTTTTATTATTGAGATTATTGTAGATATTATCACATAATTCATAAATTGCAGATGATGTTGATCTTTGTTGTCTGAAACCATGTTGACAGTGTGGAATAAGTTTATGATACTCAACAAATTTATTCAATCTCAAATAGTAGCCATAGTCAATTACTTTAGCAAATTGTGATTGCACACATATATTCCTATAGTTATTCATATTATTTTTAGATCCCTTGTTTTTATATATGGGTATAGATTTCGATATTTTTAAGTGAATCTGGGTATGTTCCGTCACAAAAAGATTTATTTATTATGAATGATAAAGGGTGACAAATAATGTCGCTAACAACTTTCAGAGTTTTTCCATGAATATCGTCTATTCCTGGAGCTGAAGTTTGAGTAGATTTTTTAATAATTACTTGAACTTCGAAATGCGAAGTTGAATATAAAAATAGAATGTCATATGAGAATGGCGATAATTTAAGGTTGTTTTTGTTTGGTTCCATTATTTTAATGTCCATGAAAAAATTATTGAAAAGATTACCAATGGTTGTTTTATCTGAGATTATATTGTTATCAGTGACCAGTTCTAAAGTTTCTTCATTTTTTATTTTACATCTATTTTCATTTATAATTTCCCAACTCTCCTTACTTATATTATTTGCACTAGTAATTCTTTTGTTGTTGTACCCCGATTCAGCTTGTTTTATTACTTCGTTATACCTGTACTTGAGTTGATTATATCTTTGAATGATAATTTCATTGCCAGTGGACTTGGCTATTTTACACATATCACATACCATTTGATGTAGATGTTTAATTTCTTTAGATATCCATGTTTTATCCTTATTACCATTATTCCTATCCTTTAGTCTTTTGAGTGGAAACACATTATGATAATGGAATTGATAAGTTGAGTAGAATGATTCACATCAGTGCCTTTGTATACTTCTTCCCATTGTTCATTTATCAACAAGTCTCTGAAAGCCATCAAGTTGTCATCAGAGAAATTTTGCTTATAAATAAAATCTACTTTATTACTCTCAAAAGAAGTTATAACGAATTCACAGATTTGGAATCTATGATCTGATAGCTGAGTGTTTTCGATAAAAACCGTTGAGGTAGAAATATTTGCATACACAGCATTGATGCTTCTATTAAGGCGTGTGGGAGAAGTAATTTGGTTTTCCATGCCAAAAGCATTGAAAATATTTTTCATTTTATTTATTTAGTTTATAACTACTAAAAAGTTTGTGAAACAAAGTTATTGATTGTTGTGTAATGTTTCTGGAACCGACTATAAATTTATACAAATCAAAAATTTTCAACTTTTCATGAAATGAGGAAATGTATATTTATACACAAAACAATTTACTATACATGAGGATTCCAATATATAATTGAACAAACTATTTTAATTCGAACCAACCAAACAAATTAATGATAAATCAAAGTATATTCATTCATATTTTTTTTCCTTTCTTGAGGTTTCATGAATGAAAAATTGGAAATCTAAAAATTAATTGTAAAAAAATTCAAGGGGAAATGAATTATTGATACTGAGGAGAGTTTTTGTAATTGTTTATTGACTATTTTTATTGATAGGTAGAATTGGGATGCCTTGCATAAAATTAATCTAATGAAAGCCTTTTTTACACATTATAAATAAAGCACTCTCTCTCTCTCTCTTGGCGTGCATTTCGCTAAACAAGTTAGCATCTTCAGATGATTAAAACTGGATATTTTAACTATGAAGAGCCTTTTATATACAACTGGATGTACCATATACATCAAATCTAGAACTGGACTCACCGAGACGGATAAACAGCTGTACCCTTCTCACAGGAATGCAGATCAGAGGAAGATAACTTCGTAAATATTCTTCCTAAAAAGTGAATTAAGTTTGAACCATCTCCTAAAATTTTGCCATGCTGAAGTCCATTCCAGAATTTCTTATGGAATTATGGTATGGGGAAACACTTCAGCTGCACATAGTGTGTTCCTATGTCAGAAGCGTATCCTAAGATGTCTGGGTTGCCCACCTGACCATTCATGTCGAAACATTTTTGAAGAACATGAAATATTAACAGTCAGTGGCAAATAATTCTTGAACTGTTGACATATGTACATTATAATCAAAATACCTTCAAAAAAAACTGTAACAAACATACTCACAATACTAGGAAAAAAGAGAACTTTCAGGTACCCTTCAGCCCCCCGGAATTATCCAACACATATTTTTAGGCGAAAACTAAAAAATGGTTCTAGTCGATCTGTGTCCTTATACAACAAAAGAATTTAGTAGCAATTTAGCTTTAATTTAGTTATAACAAATTCAATAGATTATCATATGGAATATTGTATGTTTCTATGTTTTTAGGACTGATAATATTTGTAAATGTAAGACCTTTTTAATGCTTTTATTGACTTGTCCTATATCACATGTGATCTCCCAGGATGATTAAATTATTGTATTACATTGTATTGTATTGTATTTTTCAATATACAAAGTATAAATAACAAAAAAGAAGGTGAATGTTCAAATTTCGCAGTCTACATACATTCAATCAGTGATTTTTTCATGTTGGTACACTCGTGTATCAATATAAAATACAGTTTCAGCATGTTTAGTTTGTTGGTAAGAGACATAAAAGTTACAAGTGTTTTGCATACTCAGCAATTTTCTGCTGTGGAAAAAAATTGATTAAAGAATATGCATCAAATTTTGTGTGAAAAATGGAATTAAGTGCTCAAAAACACTTGAAATGTTGACAGTGGTATACGGTGATTGTACTCTGAGTCGGAAAAATGTTTACAAGTGGTACTTACAAGCTTTTCACAGCAAGCCGAAAAGATGTGATTCAGAAGATTTTGTCAACTGAGATGGAATGAAAAACATCAACTGGTAGAAGAATTAAAAACCATAAAAATTATGAGAATGTTCATTTCAGTGTGAATATCCTAACAAAAACTTAGCAACGGAATTGAAACTAATGCATTGATGGATGTAGCCGTTACTACGTGGCAGGAAATCATAATGAAGGAAAGAGAATTGAAACTTTCTATGTTTCTATGTAACTAACGTTACTCTGCAGTTTTTTTCTATAAGGACATTTTCAAACTTATTCATTATAGTTGTAGAATACATTATAGTTGTATAAGTTTGAAAATGTCTTTATAGGACGAAACTGCAGTAACGTTAGTTACAAATGAAAGTGGTAAAAAACATAGAAAGTGTCAATATTCTTTTCTTCAAATTGAAACCACCTGATCAGATTGAATGGGATTGGAAAACTGAATATAGGATAAAGAAGATAACTATGAATTTAAACAAAATGAATAGGTCATCAGTTGAACATGATGATTGAAAAATTACTGAATGCAAAAAACCGTCATCAAACTACAGTACCCGTGGTGGGTTTTAAACCGTGAGTCATTACTTCACCCTGTTTATAAAGGAACTTATTGTGAGGGCCTTCACTTATTTCTTCTATACATTTTTCTATTTAGGTTCATCAATGACACTTTCATTTTTAATCTGATCTATATCATATTTTTCTTCCAGGTTATGAGTAACCATTTCAATATCAAACATATATTGTCCACATTCAGGGAACATTTCAGTTTCACATTTAACCATTTCATCCTCTACACATTCAAGCTCTCTCTTAATAATTCTTCCATAATCATCAGTAGTCATTATCTTTGAACAAAGAGGATTTGTGTTCAACGACGAATTCTTTGTTTTAATTCAATTTTGACAATACTTTGTCACAGCACAGCACCTATGCTGTGACCGTGACCTGACCACAGCATATGTAACAATCAGCAATGCCACTTCGCTTGGCGGGAGAAGTTCGCGCATATCCGTCGCGTTGATGAGTCCGCCATTTTGGGAAGTGAGAGACTTTCTAAATTCTGCTTTTGGCTTTGGTCTTGTTAAGACGAATATGTTACCTGTGTTCTGTGCGTATCGTAAATTTTAACTTTTAAAATAATGAAAAAACTAATGGTGGTGGACACGTTTGTGCTGTATTATAGAACCAGTGATGTGCTCCAGCAAAATGTTATGAAATATATTTGCGGTTACTTGATAAATAAATTACTGAAAATTCATAGTTGTGACATTTGTGTGAGCTATTTCAAAACAAATTGTGAATTAAATAATGAATCTCTTTACTATTATTTCAGAGCATTTCAAAATGGAACTCTTGACACATTCGTTAACTCAAGGATGCCCAAAAATGAATTTGTTTATTTTATTTCCTCCTTGGAAGTAAACTTCCAAAGCAATTTGGAGAATATTATTGTGGGAACAAATGTCATTGCAGGATTTGTATCATTGTTTGAACAATTCAATTATAACCATCCATGTGAAAATGTCCCAATATCTCACCTTTTAAAGTTATATAGTAGAGTAAGATTATTTTATACATTAAAATATATAGGAATTTCAAATCTCATAAAAATATTGCCAAAAAGAGAAGGAAGAATAAAATAATAATTTGGAGACACGAATAAATGTTTCAAAATGAACAATTTGTAATTCTAGTATATTCCTTACATAATAATCACCAGCTACTCTGGAAACCTAGAAGGATCCTAAGTGGATCAACTACATGATATTGACATTTCAGAAGGGTAAAAAACGTTCTGTGAACGTATTACTAAAAAAGAATACAAAGATTGGAGTAACAAAAGTAAGTTGATGTTTGGATACAACTTACCTATGTATATATAAAAAAAATACATTTATGTTGAAAAAGAGTTCATTCTTAAATGCAAGGAGAACGTCAATTTTTACAATAAAGAACAAGCAATTCAACTGAAAAGTTAATTAGGAATATACAAAATTACATTTATTTTAACGCTGGACAATTTCTCCTTCAAATTCTAGTTGATTGTATTATTGTATTCCTACTGGTGATTTTAGAAATAATTCAGATGTTTTGACATTTTTTGAAAAAACCATGTAACCAGATAGAATGTCTGCACAAGAATTATTATATCAATTGAATTTGGGTACATTCCGTAAGGTATATAAAAATTATATGAGCATTTTAGAAATAAAAAAGTCTGAGTGCGAACCTGTCCAAAACCATTTCGCGAGTCCTGCCCTCTTATAGTCCCTTTCCAAAATGGCGTCCAGATGCATTTCCACATCAAAGGCGGCATGGCCAAGTGTCCATGCTGATTGTTATCTATGCTGTGACCTGACTTTGTGAAGAAAAATAATGTCATTCAACTTCTTCTTTTCTTGTTTATTTGTGGTAGCACAGACAAAATTGCTGTCTCGGATAAGAAGCCCCCCTGGATGGATAATCTTAAATATGTTGTTTTCTACGTTTTATTATTCATATACATATAATTCATGTGAATGATTGAAAATTATTCAGTTAATAAAAGAAAATTATTTTGAATAATAAATCAGTATCGAAGTGTCAATTTCAAAGTCGAATAGAAGAAAAATAGGTTCTAAATTCAGTACACACTGCCATAAGTGTGTTTTACTCCAGATCTGTCACGTCCTGCCCGATCAAAATACATCGAGGAGGAGTTGTGTTTTGTTGGCTCTCAGATTAAGTAATTTCCTCCAAAAGTTATTCGTTATCTATGCTCGATGTATTTAGATCTAATAGAGAGAGCAAATAACTTTTGACGGAAATGATAGATTTGGAATATGATTGATGCCAACAAAACACATCTAGTAAGGCAGAATGGTCACATATTTTTATTTATTGTTTCTTGGAAATTCCGACTTTGCAGATAGTATTAGTAACGAAAAAATTTGAAGTTCCGTTCATAATGAGGAGTGAAATATTGTCTTTATCGGGAATAGAATAATGAGTGATAAAAATTATATTTCATCAATAAAAATAATAATAATGAAAGACGCAAAATATCAGTGATAATTGTGACGTGTTATAATAGAACGAAACTGACAGCTCACATTTAGGTATATCACAGGGTGCTTTACCAAATAGAGCACTCTTACTTATCAATTCCCACGACTTGTTTTATAAAATTCTGTAGCTGTTCTTTTCACAAAATCAATAAATATTATCTTTCAGTTTTATGATTAAATTACGAACAGTAAATGGAACAAAATGATTGGTTTCTTTCTGAATCTAATTCTGAATGAGCTGATTTATTTTTTTGCAGCGTCAATTGCCGATACAGTATGACCTTCAACCTTCAAAACAGCTTGGCGAAAACTTGCTGACTGATAGTGTAAAAAACAAAGCAATAATTCAGATGTAGGATCTTCAAAAAAGTCTTTTAATGAATTGGGACATTACGTCCCAGATCATTATTTGGTGACAACGGGACAGATAGTCGAATAAAGGGACAGTCCCGTTCAAAACGGGACGTCTGGTTACTTTATATATACTATACTTGGGAATTATCATTGAGAAGCAAATAATAATAATAAATGACATTTATTATTAATTTCTTCAAGTAAATGAAATTGTTCTTAAAGAAATTGAAAAAATTTAAAAGCTTTTTCATAGTGTCACTGAACAAATAAGTGTGACAGCTAGCAAAGCCATACCACTATACTTATTATGAAATGTTTAAGAACTGTGTTAGACACAATTACGCCAAGTGGCAACTTGGCGTAATTGGCAACACAATTGAAATATTCCTTCTAAACGGAATTTGGTAGATAAGCTTCTATCCTTGTCAAAAACAATTAATTATACCGACCTAAACTTGAATAATAAATATGATGATAATTCAATAGCGACTAGTTCTGAATCACCTGTTTCATCAAAACTGACGGGTTGTAAAATGAGGCTGAACATTTGTGAAAATAATTATTTTTAGTTTTTTTATTGTTTAAACTCAAAGATTTTGAACAAACAGATAGGTATGCTAGTTTTTGAGACCATAATAAATGCTCATCATTTCATTTCATGTTCAATCTAATGAAATGTTTAAAGGTAGTTAAAATTTGTAGCAATAATATTTGATTTCCTTAATCTTTACCTTGAAAGTTTGAAGAAACATTTGTTTTGATTTTTAGTTTTGAATTCAGAATGTTGTCATTTTGGTTATTTTATATAATTATCATTTCATTTGATTTTTAATCTCATGAATTCTCAACATGAATCTCTTAGTTCTATTATTGGTATATAAAAAGCATGTAGTTTTTTGAATAATAATAAAAATTGAATTTTTCACAGAAATCGATTATTTCTTTCTTCTGAAATCGATTTCTGACAAATATATCAATATTGAAAAAAGAAAAATCGATTTTTAAATGATAAGATTCTTTTTTTCAACTTAATGAATAATACCTGGTGTTTTTAATCGATTCAGTTTTGTTTCATCAAAAACTCTCGACTTGAAAAATGAGTTTGACCCAATTTTGTACACATGTTGATAGATGGCGCAAGAATCGAAATTTGTCATGTGTATTTTATTGAGATCTTTAATTTATGGATCATAAATCAACGGTAGCTCTTGTTATTTTGAAAACTGATGAACATATTATAAATTTCATATCATAATTATGAATTATAACCTAAAACAAAGATATTTCACAGTAAATGAATTTTATATCGTAATTATGAATTTTAACCTCGAACTAATATCTAAATCGACAGATTTCAGAGTTCAAAGAGGAAATATAAAATATAATTTTCTACAGAATAATTACTGAAACTCTAAAGCAATCTTCATTCAAAGAAAATTTTATAGTAGTTTCATTACGTTTTTATTCAAAATACCTACTACATATTTGTTTTAAATGTTGCTAATTG